CACTCTTAGTGCACCAATGCACTGAGAGTCCAACGGTCAAAATATTTGAATTTTACACTGATGCACCGATGCGCCTAGGGTATGCATCGATGCACTGACGCTCCTAACTGCTTTAATTAATTGTTTTCACACTTAAATGGCTCTATTGACTCCACTAATCATCCCCAACGTTCAAAATCATTTGAAGGTGTATTTAAACAAGCTTAGAAGCCATTGATCAACAACAAGAAACAACAAGCAACTAGAATCAAGAGAGAATCAAAGAGAAAGCATCAAACCTCAAGTTTGAGCATTTCAAGCCTATTTTTCATTCAATATTCATTTTGCTTTCAAGAACACTACTTGTACTCAATTGTATTCATTTTTCAGTTTTCTTTTCTTTGTTCTATAATTGTGCAGACAATCTACCTTGTGAGGATTTCCTTGTAAGTTTGCAAATTTGTAATCTTCTCTTTGAGAAAAAGTGTTCTCAAGAATTGGGGTATATTCTTGAGGGTGTTGTAAGGTTATCTCTTTGGCCTCAAAAGAAAGAACAAATTAGTGAATTTGTTGGAAAATCCTTAGTGTGGATAGCTAAGGTAGTGGACGTAGACTTTGGTTGAGAAAGTCGAACCACTCTAAATCGCTGTGTAAATCTTTTCAATTTTCTGCAAAAGCTTCCACCAAAATTTCAATTGCCAATTCACTCTCCTCTTGGCCAATTCCGTCGATCGATTTTAGGTTTTAGGGTTTTTAATAATTAGATTAAGGGTTTAGGTTTAGGGTTTTAAGTTTTAGGGTTTAGTATTTTTAATATATTTTTAATAATATAATTTTAAAAAATCTAAAGTTATAATATAACATTATAACTTACAAATTTGTCACCAAAATTGATTTAAGAAGATTGGGTTAAACATAAATGAATGAAAATAAACGAACATAAACTAACATAATCGAACGAACATAAACGAACATAACCGAACGTTCACGAACATAAATGAACGAACGAGACCTATGTTCATGTTCGTTCATTTAATTAAACGAACGCAAAATATTGTTCATGTTTGTTCATTTAATAAATAAATGCACATAAACGAATTTCCCGCCGCACGGTTCATGAACGTTCGCTGAACGTTCAGTTCATTTACAGACCTAACCCCAAGAAGTCAATTATGTGCCCAAATAGGAAATCATCAAAAACCAGTTGTATTTTTACAATTTTCAACGTTTATTTTATCTTACCTACTACGTATTAATCGTATGTTCGACATCGGTTATACGAATACGAATATTGAACCATATATATATATATATATATATATATATGTCATGCTCAACTTCTATTTGATGTATAAAAAGTTGTAAGAATCTGATGTAATACTGTTAGAGAGGAATGAAAATGGTATGACAGCTGAGAAAATCTTGGATGCTTATGATTTTGATCATACAAGTCATTGGAGTAAAGTTGTATGCCGTCAAGGCCGAGCCTCATCGGATTCTGTTGGATACCGATGTCGATACCGACGACTTCTTCGCTCTCCTGTACCTCTTGAAGCTCAACAGATCGGAGTTTCGATTGGAGGTGAACTTTTATTTTCCGTATTAAGAAGGAAAAAAATGCAGCTATTTAAAATCGGATTTTGCAGGCAATCACCATCAGTACAAATAGATGGACTGATGCCGGGCATGCAGTGAATCAAATTTATGACTTACTTTACATGATGGGGCGTGACGATATCGCAGTCGGAGTAGGAGGAGAAGGCGGTATCATGGAAGACGGTAACATACAACCGAATGTTGGTGGATATCTTCCGATTATCGAACAGGTACTTGGACGCGAGTTTCAGTGGTGGATAGTACTGTAAGTGTGTATGTATGTTCAGCTTATGTGTTTGTAATTTGCTTACTAGTGAATGACCACGTCCGGAAGTTGTCGATATAGGCAAGCATTCTGGTAGGCCTCGGAGGACGATTATATATCGACACGAACTACGGCATCCGAAAAGCATTCCTTCCGCAGGGTAGCCGGAAATATACTCCTCTTCGACAGCCTACCGCTCAGCAAGTGTTGATCGAAACAATATCTAAAGGTCCCGTTAATGTTTTCATCACTGGAGTTCATACAAATGTTGCCATTTTTCTAATGAGTAATCCACACCTCAAGAAAAATGTTGAGCACATATATGTCATGGGTGGTGGAGTGAGGTCTGAAAACCCGACGGGTTGCTGCCATGGAAAAGAAAACTCGTCGTCTTGCAAGACTCGGCAGTGTGGTGACTGCGGTAATCTGTTTACGGACTAAAACACGAATCCTTATGCCGAGTTTAATATCTTTGGAGATCCTTTTGCAGCATATCAGGTAGCTGAAAGAAGTTGATTTTGTTGATTGCTTATGGATATAGAGTTCTGAGAGTGTAACATATGTATGCTAATGTTGTAGGTGCTTCATTCGGGCATTCCGGTAACCCTCATTCCCCTTGACGCAACGAACACCATACAGATATCCGAGGAGTTTTTCAAGGCATTTGAGGCTAACAGGGGCACCTATGAGGCTGAATACTGCTTTCAGTCATTGAAAATGTCTCGCGATACTTGGTTCGATGACCAATTCTACACAGTAATGCTAATACAGTTAGTCAGTGTCGAAAGAATTCGTGTTATGTCGAGTTAATGTCATTAACCGTGGTGTTTCTGCCTTCTGCAGAGCTATTTCATGTGGGATTCCTTCATGTCCGGTGTGGCAGTCTCGATCATGCGTAATTTGCACACAAATAACGGGGAGAATGAGTTTGCAGAAATGGAATACATGGATATAACAGTAGTTACTTCGAACAAGCCTTACGGAATATCCAATGGCTCTAATCCATTCTTTGATGGCCTTAAAGTTCCGAAGTTTAAACTGATGAAAGGTGGAGTTCATAGTGGCCATGTCCAGACTGGTCTTCGAGATCCGCTTTGCTTCGTCGAGAATGGAAAAGGAAAATGCGAGGTAACTTCATTGTCAAGTTTTCACCAAAGCAACCATTTAGTACACGCATACATATCTTTTACAAGTATCTAAAGCATTATAACCAAATAGGATGGTTACACAAAGAAGGTGACTGGTCCAGACGCAGTTCGTGTTCTCGTCGCCACAAAGGCAAAAGCTAATAAGGACATTGGCAGCAAACTCAACCGAGAATTTTACATAAGTTTTCTGGATGTATGTAAGATTGGAATGTCACATTTTACTCGAATTTGTCTGATATTTATGGATGACATGTTATTAACATTGCTGGAGCCTGGAATGCAGGCCCTAAATAGTCCAGAGCATACAGGGCGGTTCAACCGTATGACCGAATTTCCGCATTACAGAGAAGTTCTTTTCAAACCGGATTTCAGAAACAAAAAGTTGGGGAAACCGGTCGTTTTCGATATGGATATGAGTTCCGGAGATTTTGTAGCTCTATTTTATCTCCTCAAAGTACCTGTGGAAGTGCTCAACCTCAAGGTAATTGGTTTCGGTTTCATCAGTTTCGGAACCTCTTTTGTTAAATGATTGTGTTAAGATTTAGTACTGCATTCTCCTTATCCAGGAAATATTAGTGTCTCCGACCGGTTGAGCTAATGCTGCAACCATCGATATAGTCTATGATGTACTGCACATGATGGGCCGTGACAACATTCCGGTTGGTCTGGGAGATGTATTTGCAATGAATCAATCCGATGACGTTTTCCATCCTGTTGGAGAGTGCAAGTATGCTAAGGCTATCCCACATGGAAGTGGTGGATTCCTCGATTCGGATACTCTTTACGGGTTAGCTCGGGAGTTACCGCGAAGTCCTAGAAGGTGTTTCACTACATCCTTGTTCTCTCTAACTCTATTTCCTGTCTGAAAAGCTTGGAACTGAACTGAAAGATGTCGGTTTTCATTGCAGGTATACTGCAGAAAACTCGGTAAAGTTCGGAGCTCCCAGGGATACTGATCACCCTGAACTGAGACAACCTTTGGCACTGGAAATTTGGAACTCGATATTGAAAACTTTGGATCCTGGATCCAAAATTACAGTATTGACAAATGGACCTTTGACTAGTTTGGCAAAGATTATAACTCAAACAAGAACAGCTTCACTGATTGAGGTACTTGGATTTTCGGAAGTTGATCAACGTTGTCCCGGAATCAAACTTTCCATCGATATTTAATATTTTTCATTTGCTGTAATTGCAGAACGTGTATATTGTTGGAGGACATATCAGCAGAAGTCAGCTCGATATAGGAAACGTCTTCTCTATTCCTTCCAACAAGTACGCTGAATTCAATATGTTTCTTGATCCTTTCGCCGCGAAGACGGTCTTCGAATCGGGGCTAAACATCACACTCATTCCGCTTGACAGTCAACGCAAAGTCGGTCGGTTTCCGGAGATACTTGAGAGGCTGCAGTTGACAAGGAAGACTCCTGAAGTTCAGTTTGTCAACCGTTTGTTGTTCCGGCTACACACATTGCAGCAAACTCATCACAGATATCACCATATGGTAAAGTTTAAAACAACTTAAAGCTAACCAGTTTATGCTTGGTTTCTTGTGCTATAAGTAAACCGAATTCGATTGCAGGGTTCATTTTTGGGCGAAATCCTTGGTGCAATATTCATGCCCGAAAGTCATCACAATCTAAAACCCACCACGGAAGAAATGGCCATTAAAGTCGTTGCTGAAGGTGTTGAATCGATGGACGGCAGGATTTTAATCGATGAAAACAGTGAAGATATTGAAAAATGTCGATCATATGGCCTGTTACGATATATTTGCCAATAGATTGGCTAGTGAAAAGCAATCTGCTGCATTAGGAAACATGATGAGCAGAGAATAACGTGGAAAACACCACCTAATTGAACTTAGAACATTCCGACATGAATCGGATTTTTGATTCCCAGAAGAACAGAATTCCAATTTTGTTTCATGCTAGTATTGCTTCAAATAAAGTTCGAGATAAACGAAGATAACATAGGAGTCATACGCATACTGATATCCGACAGTCACATTCTAATCCAAAATATTTTTTTCATTCATCAAAGTCATCGTACAACCAGACAACATATGATAAAATACGTCATTACAGAACAATATTTGCTACTTAAAAAACCACCCAAAATTCTTTCTTTTTGTTCTTCATCTTTGATGGTCTTCAAAGACCCATCTCGGTCATCGGAATCGACCCCATCGGATGCGATAACCTGTTGCTCTAACTGCAATAAGAAAAGAAACCCACTTTTCTCAACTGAAAACATATCATGAGTGAATGAATCGATTGGCAAAAACTAGGGCTCTTAAGTGCAAACCCTGAACAAAGTTTCGAGCTTGTTTAGGCACCTAAAATTATAAGCTTTCATAAATTTTGAGTAAAAAAACCAAAAAAATGAGAGACTTGAAGTAAACTAAGTTCACCCTTCGATGTTCTGCACCTCGCAGAAGTTGCGGAAAGCAACGCAAGCGTTTGTAACCCTTTGTGCACCAATGCTGTTTTTAAACACACACAAGAACAATGAGCATACACAGCCTTGAGGGAATCGAGTGACAGAAGTTCCACAAATTCAAGATTAGTTTATGGAGAGACAAGCCGTTTATTGTGACATATCAAGTGAAAGTGAAAGTGACATTTGAAGCTCAGGCATAATAAATAGAAAAACATATCAAGTGAAAGTGCAGTGACATTTGCAGCTCAGGCATACTAAATAGAAAAACAATGGGAACATGCAGCCAAGACCATATGCGGTTCTCGGTCCCTACGGGAATTGAATGATAGAAGTTTCACGAATTCAAACGAAGATTACAGCTAGATACAAGTGAAAGTGCAGTGATGTATATAGCTGAGATATACTAAATAGACCGGTAGACTCGAACCTTGTTCCAACATGATCCAGATCAATTCAAGTTGTTCTAAAGAATCACAACAACCAATTACATTAAGGCTTAAGTTGTGAAGGGAATTTTTAAAAGTACCTGGAACAACCTTTCAATTGATGAACATAGTCATCAACTTTTTTGAAGTCAACATTTGGCTGATCTCTGTGAAAGGAAAGAAAACAAGGGAAATCAAACACTAATCCCAGGCAATAAATCTAAAAAAAGACAGCTATGGTGAGTGTTTTTTCTTACAAAGCAATGGTGAGTTCATTGAGAAGTTTCTCGGAATCATCAAAGACAAGGGAAACAACTTCAACAACAAAATCTGGGTTGCTCTCATCTTGAAGCTGCTGAAGCTGTAAGAACTGACTGTCCAATAAACCCTTTTCTCACCATCAGCAACAACAAAAAAACACAGAGATTTTTGTTAACAAATTTGTATATATTAAAGTTCAAGTCTTGTTTTTTTGGGGGGATTACCTCCATAAACAAGGATTTTGTGTAGTCCACCAATCTTCTCTGAAACTGAACCACCTCCATTTCTCACAGATAAAAAGGGTGGAAATATGAGTATTGACCCAACAAAGATGATAGCCTGTGGCTTATAATTTATAACTCTGCGTAAAGGAATTAGAGCACAATCTAAACCCAGAAAACAAACAAACAAACAAAAGGGTATAAATGCTTTCTACGAACCTTTTAGAAAGTGATTTGATATTCGATGAATTTGATGCTTTCGAAACTAAATTCCAAAGCCCTTTTATTTGTCTTGTTTAGAAAGTTGATTATTTGAGTTATTTGAGTGATGAGTTATAATTTAAAATTGATTTAAAATTTGTTAGAGTCGAGTCGAGTTTATAAAATTTGAAATTAGTCGAGTTTATGAAATTATAATTAATAGTCAAGTTGATTTGAGTTTTTTTCGAATAGAATTGAGTCAATTTTTGCTTATATATAGGGTAAATTATATATTTAGTACCTAATTTTTTAATTTTTTCAAAACTATACCTAATTTTTTTTTGTTTCATTTTAAAACCATGGTTAAAAACTTAACTTGTTAGTACCTAAACTATCTTTTTTGATCCGTTTTAGTACCTAAATTTTCAAAAAAAATTCAAAACTTAAGTATGATTTAGGTACTAAATGTGTTTTGGTACCTAGATTTTCATGTTTTTCAAAACCTAACGGTGGGGTACTAAAATTAAACAAAAATTAAACTTTAGGTATGGTTTTAAAAAAAATTAAAAATTTAGGTACTAAAACGGATCAAAATTGATAGTTTAGGTACTAAATACGTAGTTTACCCTTGTATATGTATAAACAATAAAAATAAAATAAAATGTGTCATGTTATTATCAGTAAAATTAATGAAAAATTTTAAAAAAGAAAAGAAAATAAAAGAAAATTTAATTAAAAATCTATAAAAAAAATAAAACCTAATAAAAATTTTGAAAAGATAAAAAATAATTTTTTTAAAAAATTAAGAAGTGAAATATTAATTTTCTAAAATTTTAGGGTCCACAAATCACTATCATTGTGACCCCCTTACCGCCAATCTTTGATTCTATTTCTTCTTGAATATAATTATTTTTTACAAAAAAATAAATTTAAACAAAATAATGATATAAATTAAAATATGTTAATACCAAATAAAAGTTATTATAATTTAAAATCCAAATCATGAATTAAGCTCCAATGAGGGTGTAAAATTTCCCCTAAGCGTAATTTGATTGCCACGTCTCAATCGAATAATAAACAAAATAAAATGGTCCTGCAGAGGCATAAGCGAGTGAAAGTTCACATTATATGTATTTTCTTTATAGTCCCACGTTTTATTCGAGTTCGAAATAATCAAATATTAGATCGATTATCTCATGTTATATGGCTAAAATCATCAATGCCGGCCACCAAGCACTAACTATTCGATAAAAGAATACCGACAAATTATAATTATATTTCATTTTTAATTGAATTGATATCCGATTATTAATGATATTGTTTATCCGAAGATAGTTGGACTAAAGTTAATTTGTTTCTAAGTTGAAATTCAAGAGAAACTAATGACATAAGAATCATTTTACTTAATTAATTATTTAATAAATTAACTTGTTGTAAATGGTTTTGTATAAATATAGGTTAATTCTTTTTAAAACATTAAATTAGGAGAATAATTTCTCGAAATTAAATGCTATATATATATTATTCGTGTGGACAAGGAGACAAGCATGAAAGTGGAGAAATAATCCTTATCTTATGCTATATTTTATTTCTAAATAAATAAATAAATTAGTAAATTGCCCATATCATCTACAAATAATTCGGTTTTTGAATAAACGAAATCAATAAATATTAGACAAAATGTTAATCCAATATAATAATGATGATAATAATAAACAAATATTATCATATAATCGAATGAAGTAAAATAAATACGAAATTAAAATAGAGGAACATGATTTGTTTACTCGTATGTAGACATATAACCGAATAGAAGAAGAATTTTGTTGAGGCCTGTATGAACGATTTTCTTAAGACATATTCGTTCTTTCCTCGGTACTTTCAGTAACGTTGGATGTCGGTCTCCCAGGACATAACAACAAACGATCACAATAGTAAGCACAACCGTAGTGATCAATCAAACACAATTTTGGATTTCTCTATCATCGGAAAGAACGAATTTGAAAGGAATTTTCTAAGTATTTTCCTATTCCAAAGTTCTAAACTTGTTTCTAAGATTTGCCCCTCAACTAGTCTATATATAAGGAGAGTTGCCCCTCAACTAATCTATATATAAGGAGAGGAAGTTGATTGACGGGTTAATACCTTTCGATGAAAGGACTTAACGTTTTGATAAAAAAAACTTAACCATTCCATGACTGGATTTAATCTTTTCAACTTTAAACAAAAAATTAAGTCTATTTATCAAGTGTCATAACTTATTATTAATTAGTTATAAATAACATCAATTCATTCAATTATTTTTTCAACAATAAATAATCTTTTTTTTTTGGTAAATAAAGCCTTATATCTTAATAAAACATAAACATTAAACTAGTCCTAGACCAGTACACTCCAGCTGGAGTAAAGGTTTCACCCCCATCGGGGGAGTGATGAAGATGGAGCAGTCCATCGTATCGAACCTGGCTAGCTTGGCCAGTCGGCCTGCAATCATATTTCCTTCTCATGGGACATGTTCTATTTTCACCGTCCAATCTTTTCTTAACAACTCTTCATCTTTCTTACCAGCGTGAAAGATTGTCCCCTGTTTTGCGGGGTTTTAGCAGTTGCGTCACTTCTAGATTGTCCACTTCCAGGATGACATTCGTTTCTCCTAAAAACCATGCTTGTTGTAGCCCTATTAAGACCCCCCATACTTCCGCTTCCATTACAGTATTCCGATGTGTTTAGTAAACCTATAGCCCACGCTCCTGAATTCCTACGGATAGCTCCTCCGCATGCTGCTTCACCATCTTCATTCGTCCTTGCGCCATCTTTGTTTACCTTGACCCAACCTTGGGGTGGAGGCACCCACTTCGTTGGAACTCTGTCAGACGGTCCCTTCCTTTTCATGTGTGTTACAGCGATCATATCATTCTGTAGTCTTCGGCTGTGCTCCAGCACTGATTATTTTCGTTCAGCATCCGGGTTGAAAATGCTATCGTTTTGGTTTAGCAAAATCGACCAAAGAATTGCTCCGAATAGCAGGTCCCATGCTTCAGGCTCCCTAGCGAAACTCTCTGGATTTTCGAGGTTCATCTTTATCCACTCCTTGGTTCCAATTGCCATGAATTCTCCGTTTTCACTAGTTCTATCCATATCGATAAGGCTGTTGGACATTCCCTGAATAGATGGTACATCGACTCCACTCTTCTCCACATACTCCGCAGCTTGTGTCCGTCGTTAGATGGTGGCGAGCTCTTTCGCTGTTAGTTAGAATTTTCTCATGCGCGAGGAATGTTTTAATTCTTGGGATACCTTTGTATTTAGCAATAGAGTTCCATGCGTGGTCTCCTTCTTCTCCGGGATGCTCTGAAGTGGCCCATTTTTGATCGTATGCAGATTTAACTGAGAATTTCGATTCGCTCTCCATTTCCAGCCAAGTTTGTCGTTAACTTGTTCTTGATGGGGAGCGATCGTAGCAGCTAACTGTAGCTTTATTCTTTGGGGTAGTAAACCCGTTAATTCACTCCATTTCCATTGTCCCTCATCATCGACCATGGCTACAACTTTCACATGTGATAAGCTTGCCACTTTGGTTTGATCTATTACCAAAGAATGGGGTACTCCAGCATCCCCTAGCCAAGGATCCCACCAAAAATCTGCTAACTTTCTATCTCCTATGTTCCATGTCAGTCCTTCACGTACCTCGTTCCAAACCAAGCTGAGACCTCTCCATAGTCTCGAACAAGAACGCCTCTCTTGTGATTCCGGAACACCTTCACTCCATTTGTATTTCGTTCGGAGCACTCTTACCCATAGTTGATCTTGTCGTGGATTAGGTTATAACCTAGTTTTGATAAGAATGCTACGTTATGCATGGTCAGATTCTTGAAGCCAAGACCCTCCTTCGATGTTGGCTTGCAAAGGTCTTTCCAACTAACAAGGTGAGTGCCACCCTGCTGCTCCGCTTTGCCCTATACAAACGTTCTTATTAATTTCTCCAGTTCCTCGCATTTTCCTTTTGGAATCAATGTTGTTGATTGCATGGTATTGTATGGGATCGTCGACAAAACTGCTTTTGCCAGTGTTATACGACCGGGTTGGAAAAGGTACCTAGCAGTCCATCCGGATAGGCGATCTCTTACCTTCTGCATAATATATTGATAAGACGTGTTTGTAATACTCAAAATTTGATCAGTGACTAAAATTTAAGTTTTGAAAATTGAGAGTTAAAGTATAAACTTTGTAAAAGTTCAGAGACTAAAAATATAATTTTAAAAAGTTATAGATTTTAGCTTTAAATGAACATTTTGGCCTAAAACAAGAATTTTTGTGGGAATTGGATTTTCGGTACGAGATTTGTGTTAAAAGCTATAAAGCGATAAAGTTTAGTATTGAAAATCAGATAATCGGACCGAACCAAATTTTATGAAAATTTGAAGGATGTTAGAAAAATGGTTGGAAATAATATTTCCATATTTTATATCAAAGAAATTTGGCTCAGAACAATGTAATTTTTCAGATTTGGTTGAACAGTGAAATTTTAGTGACTAAAAAAGCAATTTTTAAAAATTTCATGGCTAAAGTGGAAAGTTAAAGCCAAGTTGATTCATCATTGACCAAAGAATATTTTAATAGAGAATGTGACAACGACATTTGGTAAATTTTAAGATTTATTAAAGGCAAAAATGAAAATTCTCAAGAATTGAATTTTTAATTCAATTAAATTGGTTAAATTGCCATGTGTATTAGAAAATTACTAGAAAATTTTAGAGTTCTTCTTCCTCCATCAGATGCTGCCGTGAACCCCCTTCAAGGTAAGAAAATTTTTTCTTCTCATTTTTTGAGCTATTTTAGTAAGATTTTAGAAAAAGTTGTGAAATAGAAAAATGTTTTACATCTAATTCTCTATCATTTGGTGTAAGAAACTCATGCTAAACATGCTTGGA